TGTTACGACAGGGTGTCCGGGTTAGACTTTGTTGTGGTATCTTGCGCATAACTAAATAACAGTAAAAGTAAAGCAATGATACTCAGTATTATAAAAACATCACTCTCCACTTTTCTTGGAAAAAAGTCAAATGCATAAAAAATTGGTTTCCACGGGAAAAAACATTTTTGCGCTTACCGAAAGTGCCAGATTCGATATTTCCTTAAACTTTTATATTTTTTTCTAGCCGATGCTTACACACGCTAATGTACAAATAAGCAATTGTGTAAACTAGGTCTTTTCATATTAAATCTCAAGGAAGTGGATTTACACTGTTCGCCTTCTCGCCATCCTTTCCCCTCTCCATCCTAATTGATTTATGTCTTTGTAAGTTGGCATGTCTTAAGTATACAGAGAATTAGAAATGAATAAAACATCAGTACAATGGAATGAGATGTGATTGACAAAATCAATAACAACTGAGCATTCGATCAATCATTCACAACACAAACGTGGCCAGAAAAGTAGCGGAAAAAAAGCATAACAATATCGGGCTTTAAATTCAAATGTCGAATTCATTTTCGGGAAATGGGTGTAGATATGAAGAGTTTACAACGCCTCAAAATCGTGCTCGAAAGACAAACGAAAAGAGCACTACATTGTAGCAATTCCTCAGTTTTCTAAGAGCCAACAGACTCACGTCTCTCTCGTCTCCCTCTTTACACCAGCACCCTATTCATTCATCCAACGAAATGCTGATTTAGCAGATTGAGGATAAACAGAACAGGTCTGGGCGAATTGTTCACAATTCGAAATGAGATAACTCGGGCTTAGTATGTAAAGATAGTATCACTACAGAAAATAAATCTTGTGAATGAATACAAACGAGTATATTTCGCATTGTTCAAATAAAAGATGTGAATATATATATATATATATATATATATATTTCATCTAAAAGACAAACAAATGAGTATTTGAGGCAAATGCTCATCTACATTGTCTCTCGATGCAACACAGAATTTCACCGCAATAAAAAAGAAAAAAATCTAGCTGCCAAACACAAGCCAAAGAGATAATAATATCATAAAATAAGCTATGCTAAACAACAGTTAAAAGTAGCTGCTAATAATGCAATAAAGCTGCAAAACACTGCGCTGCCAGCAAACAATCACACTCTGAACAAAAAATGAAGACGCAGAAGAAAAAAAGGCAGAAGAGGAAAAATCCGAAAAACTTTTGCTTAAATAATAATCCCTCATATAGCTGAAGAAAACTAAACACAAGAAGGAAGAGATATACGAACATAAGGCATTTCTCCCGAGGAAAACGACGAACGAGAACACGTATGCAAGGATCACCGGTGCTGCAAAAATGGCCGGGCGATGTAGCTTCGCTCAGTTATAGAGCAGAAACTGAGTCGATGATGTGAGGGTGTCCAACGACGAAGGTGCGTTGATTAAAAAGAAATAATCTTTGAAATGAACAAAACTAATTCCCTTACCAAAAAAAAGCCACGAAAAAAACAGTTAAACAGTCAAAGGAGACCTGAAAGAAACAAGCACAAATATTGTGCAAAAGAAACTGCAAACATTTACAGCACAACCGCCGTCGATACAGTCTTCACCGTTAAAAGGAATCAGAAAAAAACAGAAAAAAAAAGCCAGAAAAAAAGAAATGTAAGCAGAGGCACAGAGAAATTAACAACACCAACTGATCCAACGGACAGTAAAAATACTGTTGCGGTGGAACTGAACAACAGGAATGGATAGAAATCTAGCGCATCTGATTAAAACTTCAGAGTGAGTCTCTTTCTGGCTTTCGGAAAATACATTGACCTTTTTTTTTAAGAAAAATGTTGAGGAAAAAAAAGACGGAAAAAGATTTTTTGAAAAATTTAATCAATTTTCGGCAAAATGAAACCGCAAATGCTAAAAATTGATGGATACTCATTATTTCCTTGGAACTGTTCGTGAAAAAGAGACCCACTAGTAAAACATTCTAGCAAATGAAGTGAGAAATATTAGCTGCCGTCATATTTCTGATATCTTTTCAGCGGCGCACTGAACTGTTACCAAGAACGTAAATCGGTGACAATGCTGAGCTCACCATTTTCAAAAAGCACAGTTTGTGTTGGTAGACAGCTTCGCGATGCTGGAAATGTGGGCTGAAATTTAACAAACTTTTGATAAAACAATAAAAGCAAAATAAACAGCCATTGCTCCAGTTTAAAAGAGTCAAAACATTCATATAGGAAGAAAAATATGCAGAAGCTCAGTTAAAAGAGGAAAATTTTCGAAAATATACAAATTAAGTAATTTCAATCCGAAGAAAATTTAGCGAGAGAAAAATAGTTGGCCAAATGGCAGTGAAATTCTGTTAAGACGACGGAAATTTCAGTCAAATGAAACCTAAATACATTCGAGGATGTATAAATAGCATTAGGCTCGCGAAAAAAAAGGCCGTGGACGGCGTTAGAAAAGCATAGTACAGAAATAAATGGCACATAAAAGCAACCATGAGGCGTTAGTATGCTTGCTCAAGGGTATCATTATAACCAGACCAAAATTGCTAACTTTCGTAACGAATTTTGGCTATATTGCTGAATAAGATTTTAAAAAATGGCAAAAACCGAAAAGAGAAAAAAAACTACTACCTTTCTAGGTTTTGCCATTTCAAAATCAGATGCTGACGCAGCAGGTTTGCTGATGCGATCATGCGTTTTTGTATGATTCCAAAATGTGCAGAAAACGCCTCTTGTACTACCAGGGTGTGGCTGCGATGCTGCAAATTGTACAGTTGGTGCGCCTGCACACAGAGTCCAAGCTTAGGCAGAAGCCCATCTTACGCCTGGCTGACACAATAACAGCGAACACATTCACGCTCGGTACATTAACTGCAAATATTCTCAGAAAAATACTGCTTTCTGCTCGGTGTTACGCCAACAACGGAGAACTAAACATTCAACTGCGCGCATACGAGTCCGAGGCTTGCTTTAAAGCTAAACTTTACCTAGCTCGCACACTGACATAGAACATCCTCGTGAAGCTTCAGACCCTCACCATGCCTGGTTGGTGAAATCACTTCTCATTACAAATATCTGTGGTTTGTCTGAATATGCGACTCATTTATGAAAAACAGACACTCTGCAAAGTTAGAGCGTTTTAAATAATTTAGCTCCTTGGCCGGCGATTTGCCAACGACGCCTCGCAGTTTAAAATCTGATGAGTCTATGGACGCAACATAGGTGTGCAATAGCTGAATTTGAATTCTTTAGTTTAAGAACATGAAAAATCATTGTGAAAATCGCTGAAAATTTCACGTGCCGGTACGTGAAAGCTGAATTTGAAAATATGGATGGGGGACATCCCTCCAAACTTCAACCTTGTAGTTTCTCAACTTCCGAGCTAGCGATTTTCACATCACAATTCTCACGTGGTGTTACGTAAGACCTTTGCATACTTGGGAGATATATTTGAGTTTGTGAGATAGCGGCAATGGCAGAAAATATTGTCCTGAAATTTCAGCTTTCTAGCTTTCATGCCCCCGAGATAATTTTCCGCCAAAACTTTCACTCGGCCATACGCGATACCCAAGCGCCACAGTAAAACTGAATTTAAATTTTCTGGGTTGCACTGGTCAAGGAGCATATCCATAAAATTTCAGCTCCCTAGCCTCCGCGGTTCCTGAGATAATGGTTTTACCCGCTAAAAATTTACGAGGCTGTGCGTGTTACACGCAGACACGGGAAAGTTGAGTTTAAGTTCTCTGGGTCGCACCTGGTTAGAGAACATATCCATAAAATTTCAGCTCACCTAGCTTCCGTGGTTACCGAGATACAGATTTTACCCGAAAAACTTTTACGGTGCCGTACTTGCAACCCTCGGGTATAGGAAGGTTGAATTTGAGTTTTCTAGGACGCACATGATCACATGATCAAAATTTCAGTTTCCCAGCTTCCGTGGTTCCCGAGATAATGGTTGTACTCGCCAAAAATTTAACAAGGCCGTACGTGTTACCCGCGGGTACAGGAAGGCTGAATTTGAGTTTTCTGGGTCGCACATGATCAAGGAACATACCCATAAAATTTCAGCTTCCTAGCTTCTGTGGTTGCTGAGGCACTGATTTTACGCAAAAAACTTTAACGGGGCGTACTTGTTACCCGCGGGTACGGGAAGGCTGAACTCAAATTTGCCGCGCTATTCGTTGGTGGGAACACTATACTAAAATTTCAGCCGCCTAGCTTTTGTGGTTCCCGAATTGAAAGTGTGGACAAAATGCGGGATACACACGCACGCACACAGACACAGACACACACACACAAACGCACAGACAACCCCATGACAATATGCGTTTTGTACTGCCGTAACACAGCAAAAAAGGCATGAAAATATGCAAAAACACACAAAAATTGCAAAAGTGAAGTCGTAACTCACCTCAGTGCCTCCCCAGTCCTGGTACTTATCAATCAACTCCTGTAGTGATTGCGCTAAGTCATGATTGGCAAACTGCACAGCGCTGGAACTGCAAAAGTAGTACAGTCTCATGACCAAATTCGATTGAAATAACGAACATCAGCTCCCAGAAACTGAGTGAAATACCTTTTCCGATAAACAAAATTCGAACAAGTTTTTGAAAAAATGCTTTCAAAGAGAGAAATCTAAGCGCCACTTTTTCTTACATCAAAATTAGCAAAATTGCGAAGCTGCGTTCACTGAAGGAATGTTTAGATCTTATCACTCTGTGCTTACTTTTTTGAATCAAGAAGGCGACATTCTTTTATTCGCTGACAAACAATCCGATTGAGATGCTCGCCAAACAATGGAATACCAAAGACACAATCAAGCACCACGTAATCGTCGTATGTTTCACCGTCACGTAAATGTTCGCGCAGATTTGTCACTTTCCTGCAACTTTAGATACTAGAACGAAACATGGGAAAAAACTAGAAGAAATCCAAGTGAAATATGAAAAATTATACTATTAATGCCTTGATTTTTTTCTTGCTTTTGCTCCACAGATCTCGAACAAGAAGCTGTCTAATGGACAAATTCTCGAAAATTGCTTAAAAATTCGCGAATTTCAGATGCTATACTGATGGTTGTTGATAAACACAATTGCTTAATAACCTCGGATCCTTGCTCACTGGTGCATTATCGTTTTTCCGGTCTTTAACTAGCAATTCCTTCGTCTTACATAGCAATGTTAAGTAGCCGCACAATGCATCAAGTCCCAACTTATTGCGCAGCACCACCACCGACGGATGCAATGCAAAGTTCCCTGTAAAAGTTGCGCCGAGAAATACACAGCACAAATTTCATGGTATGGAATTGTTTCAATGCCAAAATTTAACATTTGCCAAAAACACGAGGAGGTGTGGAGGGAGAAAAACGATGGGAGAAAAGGAAAGGGAATAGCAGAATGGCAGCATTATAAATTTTAAATCCATCGACGAAAAAAACACAAATTTTAAAACTGGAAAACACGGGGAGAATCCTGAAATTAGTGTATGTGTCGCCATGAACAACTAAGTTAAGCTCATATTCTCACTTTCACCTTTGATTAATCCAATTTTCAGTCGTTACTTGCTGGATAATAAGCAACTTTACCAGGAAGCCAGCCGAAAGAAAATAGCCAGTTTTTTGCTCAAAAGTCAAGCACTTTTTTGAAAGAAAAATAATCTATCAGTTTGCACTTTTTTAAGCAATTTTGCCTTATAGGAAATGGTTTCCAACAAGAATTACAACCCTACTACATCTCTGTACTTTTATGCAACATATCAACTGTATACGGCCCCAAAAGAAACTCGAAACTGTAAAGCATTGGGGAAAAAAAAGAACTTTGGATAGCTTACCATCCTTCAGGTCTGATTCTACGAATGGGAAGGGAACACTTACAAGTTCCGCATCGTCAGTCACTGCACTGTACTCCTGAAAATGCATTCATTTTATTACGCTGCATGATGATTTTTGCCAATCCGCTTAACCTCAATTTTGCCAATACTTCAAAGCCAATTTTCTCTAGCAAAGCTACAGTTTCGAGTTATTTCTGGTTCAAAAATTTTATTCCACAAAAAAATGACCTGTACAAGAACTGCGTGAGTTAGAAGGGTATCATTTAGCTGAACGAGACAGTTATCTGTTGGAACAATAACAGGTTCATGGGAAGATGTTGTTAACAGCAATCGCTTGCATCTACGCAAAGCACGTGGAACTACTGGAATTCGTGATCCTTTGCGAATATACATTGAAACTGGTCCATTACCGGCGGTGTGGTACAAGAACAAACGGAACCACGAAGAGACTGCCTGCAAATTCACCAGCAACTGCACTGTCACCAGCAACAGCCAAAAGAACTTCCATGCATTAAAGAGCAATGGCGGAAGTTAAAAAATTTGTCAAAAAATCAAAAAAATTTCAGCAAACTGGCGAAACATACTTCTGGAACGACAGGGCCGAAATGTGGAATGGAAGAAACTGACAACGGACACGCTTCGCCACTCAGTGGAGCCATTGAGACCAAGCACCTCAAATTGATTTCGATGAGCAACAACACCGCCAATCAGCAATGCTCTTCACAGCTTGTGCAAAATTTGAGAAAACAGACGTCGCTAAAGTGCCCCGCTCCCAGCCTTTTTCAATCTCTGGTGCACAGTCCACTCGATAAGGCACTTTTAAATGTACAGGACTTTATTTGACATTTGCATGATTACTCATTCACAATTTCCACAAGAAATTAACATCCTCACAGCTAATATCTAGATTATTCTACGAAAATTTCGCGAACTCCAAACTACTGAGCAGTCCTTAGACGGGATTTTGCATTTCTAAATTAGCAACTCCAATTTTTCCTTCCTAGCCAATAATTTTAATACTACCCGGGCACTCCACTGATAGAGATTATCAGCAGAAGCACAAAACTAAAGAGCTTTCCGGCCGCAGCAAAATCTGCCCCTCACAAAAAGACAATTAAACCTGTATGTTTTGGTGATAAGGCGAAGACGCGTGGCATGATCCAACGACAGCAAGCTCTCGCCACGAATCAAATCAAGCTCTGAGCCATCGCGCAATGCACGAATTGTAAGCAACAATGTTTGCGCATGCTCGGAATAGCGCTGCGCCTCACCTTCAACGAAAAGCTTGACCTGGAACGAGAAAATTCGGTAAAAACTAAATAAACACAATCTGAACAAATCGCAGCAAAGCAAACTAAGGTGAGCGAAAGTTACCTTACGCATGGCAAAAAAATATGCGCTTCTGATAATCTCAGAAACAATGATAAATAAACAGCAGCGCGCACCAGAATAGCCGGTGCGATCATGCGTTTTGAGCAATTCCGCCCACCGGACGATTGCCTGTTAATGATTTTCACTGCTTTGCACTTTGGTCCATGTAAAAACAGTTGAGACGTTGAAAAATAGCTAAAAATTTCAAACATCAGCACGTGGAAACGGAATTTGAAACCTTAAAGAGTGAATATCCTTCCAAAATTTCAGCCTCCTGATTTTCTGGCTTTTGAATAAAATTTGAGACAAAAGTTTTACATGGTCGTACTTGAGACTTCGGCATACTTAGGAAGTGAATTCGAGTTTTAAGCCCCTACTTAGGTAGGAAGCATTTTCTCGAAATCTTTAACCCCTTAATCTTTTGGCTCCCGAGATAATGATTTTTCTCGCCAAAACCCGGGGAAAAAGAAGGAAAAGAGAAAGACGACAGTTGAAGAGTGTGGACAGATGAGACAGGAAGTCTATGCAAAGTCATCCACAAAACGGTTCCGTCATATGCAAGTTTTATATTCTGAGACTGAAAACGATTGAAGGAGCCAAGCTGAAAGCGTCTGAGGCAACTGATGTGGTGCAGGGACATAAATGTGAAACATCTGCCTCTCATTTATCTCGAAAATATTTGGCATCCACCAATGTTTTCGTTCACAACATACTTAAATTTATATGTACAAACACAGGAACGTTTTTGTTAGTTCAAGAAAGGCATCGGACTTCAAAACATAACTTAGGAAGAGGGAAGAGACCGCCGGAGACTGAATCCGTTAGGCCCTAATTTTCACTAAATCAAAACAGGTGGCTAATCGATTTCTGATACTAAAGCCTTCATCATTGTCACTGAGATTATGACAAAAACACTTCTCAAAAATAACGACTCACATTCTGCAACTCCTCCTCAAAACTATCCAGTGACTCATCGCTCAGTTTACCCACTTCGAACAATGTTACCGCATGATTCTTCAGGCTCTGAAATCCAGGGAAAAGTATGCTTCGCAAAATTATAAACTGAGTAGCAACAGCTAGAAAAATAACTTATTCTCATCGAACCGCAAAATAAATAACAACTGTTCAAACAAGCTAAACGGCAGAACTGTGCATGCCACTAATATATCTACATCAGTTATCCTTGTGAGACCGAAAATCTGTATGTCGGGGCTCCCTCTACATCTACCTTGAGGCTCCCTCAACATAATTTTAACGCTTTAGCTCTTTCGATTCAGTACTCTCACACAAATAAAGGAGCTCACTTACGGCTGACAAATTTCCCATCATCAGAAAGGCGGTTAACGACGAATCAAACAGAAACGCAATTCGCTTCGCTGCTTCGTTTCCACCACTGGGCGTTGGAGTTGTCATCGACAGGGACTGAAAATGGAAACACATATATTATGCCGATGCCAACAGACGAGATATGCAACGCTAGGAAACGAATTTCAGACAATAGGACCGTGGAAGTAGCCGGCGTATCTTGCCCGCCAAATAACACATCCGAATTGCATTCAGTTTCATCGTCCTCATCAGCGCCACCTGGCGAAACCAGCGATTTGGAGAAATCCGATAAATCGGTTGTGATTGCTGTGGTCGATGTCTCGTCCATCCTGTCCCAATACCATCATTCACAACAGAAAAGAACAAAAAAAAGAATTAGAATATTGTTAAAAAAGTGCTATTAGATTCATGCCAATGATTCTGAGCCTGCCTGACCAGAGGGAATAGAAAGCCTACCTACCACTACCAACACACTGACCGACCAGGTGCTCAAACTGCTACATACAAAAACCACTAGGACCCTTCGAATGGTGATTTCGATATAACTGGAGTTGATCTAGGCCACTCACTCGCAATTTTTTGTCAGCTTGCTCGCACTCCGATGAGATACTTTTCTAGGATTTGCAGAAAACATTTGTTATAAGGAGAATGGAGATATTCGATGCACAAAAGAAAACATAACAGAAGTTGCTGGGCGTAAAAAACGATGAAGCTCTGCACAACAGACCAAATGCTTAACGTGGCGGAAGCTTGAAACTCACTCTGGAATGATCATATGGCTAGCCCATGTAACATGCAGCGCAAGATTTTCAAGGCCAGTGACACGTTTTTTAGCAAAACCAAGGCGGCAAAAAACCGAAATTGCGTTTTTCACCAACTGTAAATCGATGTCCAACGTTTCCGCGAGCTGA